TGAGTTTCTCCAATGAAAGGTCTCATCTGGTGGGGAAAATTCTAGTCGGATAGTGTTCCTACTAGCTGCTTCTAAATGTCACGGCAAACCCACCACGCGATACAGTGGATTGTATACTCTTTCGTTTTGTCATCTATTTTGCTTAAACATTATTTAATAATTTTGTGTTTCAATACAGATAAAAAAACAAACAGTTTAATCACATGAACAATTGGACATGATGCTATGTGAACAAGGATGGCCGATCTTTGTGGGGGGTCCAAAGTTTACTTATCAACAAGCTGTCGCTTGTTCTAATACCAAAACTTATGTAATAAATGGAACTATAATATACGTTTGCTTTTCAAATTTTGCCAAAATTAGTAGATACGTGTTTCATGTCAGCGATTGATTGACGGATGATTTGGGTTAAGAAATGGATACATAATTCGATGTTTCATGTGTTGTTTTGTTAACATACTACATTCGTAGATTTATCGTGTGTAATTCGTGTTTTAAAAATTACGTTATGTATATTTTTAATATCTATATCTATATCAATTGTTATATAGCTCGGCCTAAATATATATCCTGTTAGTATCATGTAAAGAGTGTTTCTAATGATACCACTTTTATTATAGCCATTTAGTATTCTTTAACCTTTTATTATCTTATTTATTTTTTGATTTTGATTCTTAGATTTTATACCATTTTTTCAAAATTTTTTTTTCTAAAAATACCCTTTTTTTCTACCCTATATAAATACTACTATATACCATATTTCATCCCATTTTACCTTTAATTTTTCACTCAAACAACCTCACTTTTGTGAAGAATTGGTTTCTCCTTCCAACCCAAAAACTCCAAAAAATACCAAAAGAAACACCCAAAACACAAACTCAATCTCACATTCTTCACTAAATTTCGTCCAAAGCCAAAGTGATCGTCTATTTATTCACCTTTAAATTTACACTTTGGTGGTGTTTACTACAAATATCAAGTCCAAAATCAACCTCAATTTCAAAACCAACATCAAATGAACTTCTCATCCCAACTCCAATCCCAAATGGAAAATGACTTCAACCCATTTGACAATCTTCTCGTGTAACATCTCCCTCTGACACGTATCGCAATATTGTCCTCTTTGGGCTTCCGTCACGAAAACTTCCCAGCGGGTCACCCATCCTTGGATTGCTCTCGCTCGGGCATGCTTAACTGCAGAGTTCTTATGATATTTGTTGTCCTCATGGCTTTAAAACACGTTGTGACAGGGAAAGTATCCACACCCCTTATAAGGAAATGTTTCGTTCTCTTTCCCATTCGATGTGGGATCAGGTGCAACCCACCTTCACCCCCCAATATAGGGCTTGACGTCCTCGTCGAACACATCGATTCGTGTCATAGCTCTGATACCATTTGTAACATCTCTCATCTGGCACGTATCATAATATTGTCCGCTTTGGGCTCTCGACACGAAAACTTCCCAGGAGGTCACCCATCCCTGAATTTCTCTCGCCCGGGCACGCTTAATTTCAAAGTTCTTATGGAATTTCTTGCCCTCATGACTTTAAAACGTGTTGTGATAGGGAAGGTATCAACACCCCTTATAAGGAATCTTAGTTCTCCTTCCCAGCCGATGTGAGATTAGGTGCAACCCACCTTCGCCCCCATTATAGGGTTCGATGTCCCCGTTGAACACATCGACCCGTGCCCTAGCTCTGATACCATTTGTAACATCTCCCTATGACATGTATCACAATATTGTCTTCTTTGGGCTATTGGCACGAAAATTTCCTAGGGGGTGAAGGTGGGTTGCACCTAATCCCACATCGGATGGGAAGGAGAACTAAGTATTCCTTATAAGGGGTGTTGATACCTTCCCCATCACAACACATTTTAAATCTGTGAGGACAGCAGATCGCATACAAACTCTGTATTTAAGCGTGCACGGGCGAGAGCAATTCAAATATGGGTGACCCTTGGGAAGTTTTCGTGTCGGGAGCACAAAGCGGACAATATTATGACACGTGCCAGATGGGGGATGTTACATCTCGACTCCCCAATGAATTTCCAAACTCAAGGAGAACCCGAATTCGTCCTCGAAACAGAATTGGATCCAGAAGAGATTCGACCATAACCCAAGAAAAGTGGAAAGACGATTCCAAGACAATGGACTGCGGCCGAAGAAAAGGTATTGGCTCGTGCGTGGGTGGATGTTTCTGAAGATCTAATGGTCGGAAGAAACCAAAATTGTCCAATTTTTTTCCAGAAAATTACAAGGCATTTTCTCGCGAAAATTAACCTTGGAGACTACCTGGAAAAAGGACCAAATTTACTCGAAGTTGAGAAATGTCAACAAAGTGGTGATGGAGTTTAATGTGACGTTTTCGAGTGTCAAATGACAATGGCAAAGTGGTGCAAATGACGAAACAATTTTGAAAAAAGCTTTTGAAGTATACCGGAGTCAGAAATGGGCGAATTTCAAATTCCTACATGTTTGGAATATTGTGAAATTGTCAAAAAATTGGCAAGAGGTAACCAGCTTATGAAACGTTTATGGGTGGTTCTTCTAAAAGAACCAAAACATTTGAAACGACGTATACTCGATTGTCCGATGCGTATGTTGGGATTGACTTCAATAAAGAGGAGCATTTTAAGGTTCCAAGAGCCACTCCTCCCATGGGAAGAGACCAAGCCAAGTGAAAGGGAAAAGCGGTGGCAAGTGGTTCGAGTGACATCGACCAACTAACAACCAAAATGGACAACTCGAAGTCATCCTTGGAACAATATTTGGCGGTCGCACAATAGAAAGAAAAAAACTGTTCCATGGTTATCTTAACGAGAGACACTAGCGCTCTCACCAGACGCAAAAAAGAAATGACGATAAAATCAAAAGAGAAGGTTGCAAAAAAATATAACATCTAGGTTTCGTTATTTTACTTTCGTGGTTTCGTTATTTAAATTTCTAGGTTCGTAATTTGAAATTCTATGTTTTTTTGTGAGTGTTGTAATTTGATTTTCAAATTTAATGAAAATTTAGTTTTTCAAAAGATAATATGTTTGAAATTTTTATTTTTACATATTAATTAATTTTAGAAAAAGCATGGTATATGTGGCAACCCACGCCATGTAAATAGCAAAAATTTTAAGCAGTGTGGAAAATCCTAGGTGGCGTCTACCTAGACCGTGACAAACTTGACACCACTCTCTCCAGCCTAAGGGATTAAGTGTAGTGGGAAGCTCATGCATCAAAAGTAAAAAAAACTTTTGAGATGTCCACTATTACCATATAATCATCTATAATGATAGTTTAATGAATTGATGTTGAATGACATGACAAAGTTCAATGGTCTAAAAAGTTAAAACATATTTACCAATGTGTTAATTATATAACATATTAATTTTAGTATTGGCGTATGAACAATATTGGTATTAAGCTGTGATTTTCAGCAATAGCTAATCTGGATTTTGTTTCGGTTGGTTTTCAGCCAGTCGGCTATGAATAGTGGTCAGTTTTAGACAGACTTAAGTTTGAAGCTGCTCATTTGCCCCTTTCGCCACCTTCATGTTCTGTTCTTGCGACACATATGATGCTTCATGTAACACCCGTTTCCTAGATCGTCCCTTGTGGTTAATTTGGAAATTCAAAATTTTGGGTATATGTTACACGTAACTACAACTATGCATTGCGTAGGTCTACACCAGGCGTAGGTTTACTTACATCGTACGTAAATCTACGTTGCACATCGGTTTAGCTACGTCACGCATATACACACTACAAGAAAAAGGGGTTTCAGAGACTGACAGAATCAGTCCCTGAGAGTAAAAAATCAGTCTCTAATGAGAATCATGGACTGATTTAGATAGTCCCCGAGACCTAATCTTAGATAATCGATTTTTTTGTATCTGGGACTGAAAATTAGTCCCTAATTCATCAACGTATCCAAGACTGAAAATCAGTCTTAGATAATATGTCATTCAGTCTCTAATTTGTTTTATTCAGATCCCCAATTTGATATCATATCAGTCCCTGATACTATCTTTTAGAGACTGAATATTAGCCCTTTATAATATATTATTCAATCTCTAATATTTTCATTGAAATCTTTGTTTTGTGTCCTATCAGTCCCTTTTAATATCATTTGGGACTAAATATCAGTCTTCTAAACTAACTAACTTAGTCTCTAATATTGTTTTTCAATGACTAAATATCAGTCTCAAATACAATGTTATTCAATCCCTAACCTGATATTTCAAGGACTGAATACCAGGCTCGGATACAATGTCATGAGTCTCTAACCAGATTTTTAGGGATTGGATATCAGTCTCAGATACAATTTCCTTCAGTATGTAACATGATTTTTCAATGACTAAATATCAGTCTTAGATACAATGTTATTCGGTCACTAACCTAATATTTCAAGGACTGGATATTAGTCTCAGATACAATGTCATTCAGTCTCTAACCAGGTTTCTTAGGGACTAGATATCAGTTTCGGATTCAATGACATTCAGTCTCTAACTTGATTTTTCAGTGACTGAATATTAGTCTAGGATACAATGTCATTCAGTCCCTAACATGGTTTTTAGTGACTGTATATATGTCTAAGATTCAATGCTATTCAATCCCTAACATGAATTTTCAATGACTGAATATTAGTTTTTGATACAATGTCATTCAGTCCCTAACATGCTTTTTCAGTGACTGAATATGAGTCTAAAATGAAATATCATTTGGTCCCTAACCTTGTTTTTTAGTTACTGGATATCAGTCTCATATGCAATATCATTTTAGTATTGATAACTAGTTGTAAGTTCTATAGTTTTAGACTAAATATGCTGAAAATAGAAAATGTATTGTAATCTAGACATCATTTCCAAACTAAAACAATAAACAAAAAAGTCTAAGCAATGTGTCAATAGTAAAACCATATGTGAAAAAAGTTCTAACTTTTAACTAATGGTCATGACTATTACTCTTGATCTGATATGTTTGTCATGTCATCATCTGCACGAAATCCTTATTTATCAGGCGGGCATAATATGTTTTGAGAATCTGGGAACTTTAAGATCATAAATTGAAGCATCGTTTCACATTTCTCCTCATTTTGTTTGACTTTATCTTTGTTTTCTTGAACCTCTTCCTCGAGTGCAGTAACTTTACTTTTCAAAGCCACTTCATCCGTTGCGGCTGATTGAGCCGTTTCCGCTGCTGATAAGATATGTAGATCTTTTTTCCTCATAATAGGTCCACTTGAAGCCTCCCATCTAGATAGTAATGTTTTATGTTTGGCAGAAACGATTTTAACGGCTTTTTTCTCTATGTCATATTCCATTTCTGGAGTAATGCTTATTCCCGCAGAAACTAATTTGGTACATTCATCCTCTTTCATTTGGAGAATATTTTCCTAAAATAACATAAAAATATATTATAATAACTTATATATAACACCGATATCAATATATTACAAATGGAAATTAATATTACTCGAGAAATCATTCTTACATATTGAATGTGTGTCTCATCATTTAGCCATTCCTTTGTAGGATGAAAATGCAACTTATGATATAATTCGATTGGGGTGGGGGCAATTGAGTCTCTTTGTTTTTCTGCAATAATAAAAATTACCATAAGAACAATTATTTATAATTGGTGTTCAATGAATATATTAATACAAATATAAACTAATTCGCTAGTTACCATAAGTAAAAGAGTTATTTACTATTACTTAAAATATTAAACACAAATGTAGTTACCTGTATCACCCGAGTTTGGAAAAGAATCCATATTTTGGGAAAGAGGACGTTCAGTTGTTTTAGAAACTGTTCTAGAGACACTTTCTTCTTGGGCAGGCGGAATTGAAGTTGATCGAGTATTTTCTCTCGCAACAGGTGCTCCTACAGAGATTCAATCATTAGTTATGACCGATTGTGTTTGTTACGACAATAAAAAAAATACAAACCTTGTACTAAAAATTACCAAACAACCACAATTACCAAACAACTCTTACACTCATTAGCAAACATCCCCTGCACTCATTACCAAACTGCCCTATACACTAACATTTACCAAACAACCCCTACACTCATTATCAAGAATCAAAATAACATAAAGGTTGTATTATCTAAAACTTCAGCTCAATTATTTGCATGACAGATACTAATAATCAGCTAACATTTTCTCACCATGTAGTGCTGCTACATGTTGATTTTAAAACTAGGAGATGACACTTTCTATCCAATGTTAAATGTATATTACAATACATTAAATGGGTGTGTTGCTAATCTTTAGCATATAATCTTCTTATAACCCTTTAACTTTTGGTCACCAAATTCAACTTTAACAGATTATGGATGAATCAATTAAATGTAAACAGTAATTAACATGTTAGGTTATAACTATTGATGCAACAGCTGTCATAACACGTTTACGGGTACGAAGCATACACAATTTTGGATCCAAATCACTTCCACTTCCTTCACCAGTTGACATAAACGAAATTTGTCGAGGTTCTTTCCTTACACGCTTCGTACCTCCGAGATTAGCAATTGTCATCACCACAAGAAATATCCACATTTTACCTGCAAAAATGTGGTTTTTACACAAGTTAGCCAAGAGTACAATTATACATATTCGTTGTCAAAAAGTTATAAATAATTAACAAATTACAAAACACACCAACAACATACAAAAAGAATATATTTATTCATATCCATTGTCAAAAAGTGTTAAATACTTAACTAAACACACCAACAAAGAAACACAAAAAATACACTTATTCATATTCATCGTCCGACTCATCATATAGTGCCACATTTGTTTCATTGCTATCATCTAAATCTTCATTTGATTCATTGGGTAATTCCTCAAATAATTTCATTGGAGATAGTATCATAATCGATAAAATCATCTAGAGAAAAGACTAAATTACTTACGACCCTTAATCATACAAATTGGATATTTGGTATTCCATAAAATGGATATATGGTGTTTGATTAAATTCATATGATATGTATGTGTTTGAGAACCGAGCCCATAGAGTGAGTGATGCTTTTTAGCTTTTTATCGAATTAGGTCTCTTTCAAGTATAGTATAAAAATAGGAGTAATTCCTTTATTGTTTTCAATCTAGTATTATGTTTAATTCAGAAGTAATTACTTAGCCAACAAGTTTTTGTTATCGCCTCTCTTGTCCCCTGTTCTTTTTCCCCTGCTCCTGGTTATTTTTTTATCACCTGTTCCATCTGTTTCTCTATCTTTTTTCGTTGGTGCACAAGGTGAAAATTGAAAGAGCCCCTGTTACTAGTATTTTAAAAACTAGGTTGAAAACTGTTATTAGTTGGTGCAAGAAAAACTACAATAACATTGTGTTTGGTGAATAAGTGGGTCGTGTAGTTTTACTTTTTTAGCCTTAGATCTTTTTCACATAAACCCTTAAATTCAAACAGCAAACACTAAAACTGAAAACATCATCTTAGAAGTGATCAGTAACCAAGAGCACAAACAACACATGACTTTGAACATCCATTTGAAATTTGAAATTCCTAAAGGTCCTTTCAATCAAATGACCAGCAAATGCCAAACGACAGGAGCAAAATTGTTGGGTTTAATCATAAAGTAACACAAATGTGCAAGAAAGTATCTTGTTAAGTTCTCAAATCCTAATGCTAACAGACACAATTACATAGCATGTTTTAATACATAGTTACTGAGTTTTTACTTTCTACACTTTGACTGTTTCAGGGAACAGAGTAACAGACACAAATCACAAAATTACATAGAAACATACAGGGCAGCGAATGTTACCTGAAATTGGAGAATACTTCACAGTGCCGACACTCCTTGCATTCACTCGTCTTCCTTTGTTTTTGGATGGTTTTGATAGGGTTTTGTGTGGCCGAATGTGATGGAATAATCGTTCCATCCATCTATACCCATCTTATCGGAAATTTTGGAACATATCTTATTGATCTGATCAAATCCCATCCAAATATACATGCATTTTTCTTATTTGATTTTAATTGTAGATTTAATTTGTTTTTACTCTTTATTTTATTTTATGTATTGCGTTTGTGTATTTTTAGTTAATCTTATTTTATTTTTCCTTTTAAGAGTAAAGTACATGAATGGTTCATATAGTTTGTGTTAATTTACACCTTTAGTTTCTAACTTTTTTATTCCAACTTGTAGTATTTTTATTGTTCATTTTTATTGCAGTCTTGATCCATACAATATATATAAAATAAATAAGTTGTTCTCTACTATTTTTTTGATTATTTATTATTTATATATTGTTACACGTTTAGTTTCTAAAATTTTTACGCTTTTAGTTTCTAATATATTTATTCTAACTTTGAGTGTTTTTATTGTTACTTTCGAACATTTTTACCCCAACCCTACCTTCACCCATACCCATACCTATCGAGCCACGTCCATATACACATACTCACACACCTACCCACTCCAACCGTACCTTAACATAAGGCTTTAGTTTCTATGCATAAATTACAAATACAAATAATAATGACAATTGTCTCCAAACCTTTGTAAATAAAAAAATGTTCGAAAATAATAACTACAAACCCCAATAAGGTCCTTGCATACTCAAAACTGGCACCCGTCTATCAAGGACTTAAATTCAGTCTCTAATATGCTTTTATCAAAATAGTATTTGTGACTGATTCATTAATCTCTAATATGTGGTATATATATGACTAAGTAACCCATGTCTCAAAAACTAAAATTTAGACCCTAATGATTTCTCTTCAAAGCCAAAAGTGGTTAGTCTAACCAAGACTGGATTTTAGTCCCTAATAAATTTCCTTCCAAATAGTATTTGTGACTGATTCATCAGTCTCTGATGTATGGTATCTATGACTAAATAATCAGTCTTAGATACCAAGATCTAGCCAGTTTTAAGTGTTCATTCGAATGTCAAATAGTACAAGTCTATTAGGAACTGAAATTCAGTCTTTAGAAACTTTTATGTTGGTAGTATAAATAGGTGCAATTGTATCAATGACTAAACTTCAGTCCCTAATAAGTTCCTTACATAGTCAAAACCAACACAAGTCTATCAATGACTGAAATTCAGTTCCTCATAACTTTCCCTAAAAAGTCAAAGTTAGTGCTAAACTATTCAAGACTAAAATTCAGTCCCTAATATGTTTCCCACCAAACCTAAACAGGCGCAACCATATTAGGGACTGAATTTTAGTCTTGAATAAATTTTTTCGGTCTCTAATTAGTCACACGTTAAAATCAGTCCTAGGTAGTATCTGAGATTAATTTATTAGCCTCAGATACATGGCGTCCAAGACTGATTAATCAATCTCTGATATTTTAGTCACAGAAGACCATTTTTCTTGTAGTGACACTATTTTCATGAAAATCCTGATTTAGAGGTTTAGACCTTATTTAATGGTCTTAACTTTTAGGGTTTTGTGCCATTCTTAGCCTCCACCCTCTGTGAACGAAACCCTAACTTTTCTCCCAAGTGTTCTTGATTTTTTAGTGTAAAAGCCTATTTTTAGTGATGCTTGAAGAAGAAGAAAGACCTTGGTGGTGCTTAGAAGTTTGATTAATTGAAGATCCAACCCTCATTTTATGCTTCTAGACGCTTGTTAGTCTTCAAGATTATAACTTTATGCTTCTAGCTTTGTGAATCTTAGGATTTATGCATGTTTTGGTCCATTTTATTGGATTTTAGTTGGATTTTGGACAACTTCAGGATTAAAGATTGGATCTTTCGGTTTTCTGGACCCATTCTAGTGAAAGATCTTTATGCCCAAGAGATATTATAGAATGATATTGCTAAATAATATAGGATCTTAACATGGTCACACTAACAACTTGATGATAATATATTATTTATAAGAATTTGATTCTCGATAAATACTTATATTATACATATATATTATTTGTAAGGATTTTAGTCTTTGTAATTAATTGGAAAATAATTATTTTATGTAAATAAAAGTTTTCTATCAAAAGTATATAATAAAATGACTTGGACAAATTTATATGAACCACTTGTTTTTATATAAACTAAAGTAGTTAGTTTTTTTATAAAACTACGATGATATGTTTATATAAATTGGAAGAGTGTGTTACACTCTCCCCATTTCTTCCTTCAAAAACTGTGAACCCACATGGGTCAGAGGATTTGATGGATTGCTTTCTTTTCTTTCTAAGGACATACCCCACACATCCTTAACTTGTGTCATATAACGGTATGAGTTAAAGGCTTAAGGGATGACTTGTTTTAAGTATAAAACGAGAGTGCATGAGATAGTTATGTGTTCCTTTTTCTTTGAGAAAAAACCATATCAAACTCTCTTCCTCTCTCTCCCTCTTAAAGTTTTTAATGTGTTAAGAAGAAAGACTTGATACTTGCTTACTCTCTTTAAGGTATTACTTGGGTTTTAACTTAAAGCTTAAGAGTAATTCTTTTATTATAAGATCCATGACTAGCGTCATCTCAAGTATATTTATTGTTCGTGTCTCTAGCTAATGAGGATTTCTACTCTACATTCTTCTTCAACTTTCTAATTGACAAAAGGAACCAAAGTCTTCAAAGGTTGTAAAACACTTTCATTTCTATGGTTGTTTTCATCTTCCTAAGCTTTGCAAAATGATCATTGGTAGGTAAAATGGCATTATATTATTCAAATCTAAAATTGCTTCAGTTGTTAATCACGTAATTTTTTATTCTATAATTAGACTATTTTTGAATAAAACCCAACAATTGCTATCAAAGTCACTTTTACAAACTTGGTTAGATTATTTGTTAATATGTTATTATCTTTGTTTTTGGAAAACATTGATGGTTTTCTTTTTGTACGAAAATTCATACATATTTTATGTGACAACTTTATAATTGTTATCTTTTAGAGACAAAAAAATACATGTATTTTTTGTCACTAAAAGTTGTTTTTGACAAACATAGTGTTCTTTTATATAATTTTGAGTGTATATATATATATATATATATATATATATATATATATATATATATATATATATATATATGATGTGTCTAAACTAGCCCTGGACCTCTTAAGTTTGTGTTTGTATTGATTTATTAAAATGATTGTAATATTTATTTATTAATATGGTGTGTAATAATTAAATATATAGTTTTCATTTTGTTTATTTTTGTATGTAATAGATTAGTTTTAGAAATAGTTTATTTTTATAAAATGTAACAAGAATGAAGATGGTGACTATTTTGAAGATCAAAAGTTTATAAACTTGATTTTAATAAAGATTTTATAGAATTATTTTTATAAACTTGCTACAAGATGTTGAAGCAAGTGGGAGCATGAAAATTACAATATTTTTGGTCCCTTATGTCTCTTTAGGAATAGACTTGACATTTTTGTGATGACTCACAAAAATATCACTAGATGGTTGGTTTATGCACATATGTTTTACATGCTTGTGTTGTTTAAATTTATATTGATATTGTGTTATTATTCTTAAATTAGATTTCACATGTATAAAATATTTTGGACATAAATAACATTACAATAATGTGGTTTTAATGAAATTTATCTTTTAACATAAGATGGTAAAAATAGTTTTAGATATAAAATGGGTTTTATCGTTTAAAACTAGCTAACAGCAAATTTCAAGATTAAAATTATATAAGTTTAAAATTGAGATTTTATAGACTTATCAAACTCCAAACTTATTTTATAAAAATGAAGTTTCATTAAAAGGTTTATAAATGTTCTTAAACGCTCAAACAGTAAATTTTAATACTAGTTATTAACTTTAAAATTTGATTGCGTCGATAATATAAAATTTGGATTTTTATTAGAACATTGTTAAAATGTGATTTTTAAATCAAAGTATACCATGAATTATTGAATATATGCAATAACCATGATATAATATGTTTTTTAAACTAGAATTATAAAAACATGAAAGACTCCTTATTAAACTCAAGTCTACGTCATCCACTTTGGAAACACTCGCACGTCACTTGTATGGTCCTTGTGGAATAAAGATCACCTAACAAGTTGGATTCATATTTTGATGGTCGAGGTAGTTTCAGACTTTCTAGTGAGATAAAGAATACCTAACAGCTAGTTATGTGTCGGTTCTACATGTCGTTCAAACTAGATGATTTGATCGGAAATCTGTTGTGATAAAGGATACCTAAGGAATAGAGATCCGAGACATAAATAGGATCAAACATGTCTATTAAACTTTTTTATTAGCGATCCCATAAAACTAGGAATAATATAGTAGAATATAATTGATATTCGATATCTACCTAGTTGAATTCAGATAAATGGGGTAAAGGTCACCTAACCATTTTATTTATTTTGCAACTTAGATCCTAGACTTTGATAATTAATATTTTTAGAAACTAAAAGGGTATTAATTATTAAATATTTAAATATTAAAAATACTACAAGAATTTCGCTAAAATTTTGTAGATAACTCAAAGTGCAAACCCCTAAATTATCAAAAAAATTCACGACCTTTTAAGTCAAGAAGACTATTCATTAACAACTTCAACTCTTGGTATAAAACACCGAGAATAGTTCTCAAGCATGAAGGAAAGTTTTATATTCTTATGCACCCTCTTCACATCGAGCCCCCTCTCACATCTATTGAAGCTCGTGCTAGATGGTTGAGACATTTTGATGATTCAACCGATATATCTCGTCTTATGGTTGAATCTTTTAGCACATGACATGCTAGTTAACCTGATTGAAAGGAATCATTATCAGGATGAAGATGATGAATGAGAGAAGATTATCCTATTTGGGAAATGCCCATAGTGGGCAACTCCGGTATCTACTAGATAGAACTTATACTTTTCATATAACACTCAAATACTTGGTACTTAATGTTAATCAAATATTTGTAAATGAATTACATATATTTCAATAAAAGTAATCAGTTGAG